ATATCTCCTTAACTATGAGTGGTAGGAAGATAAAAGTCATGCCATTTTAAAGCTAATTTCATTAACAAGAGTGACAGGCTATTTTTTTTTTTTTTTTTTTCCCCAGTTGATGTTTGAACACCGAACAATCAATGCTGGGCAAAGAGAAAGAGCGTGGGTGAAGGGTGGGGAGGAGCAACACAATTGGTTATTGACAGAGAATTCAAAGTCTGAAAGGCTGGAGGCGAGATTCGAGCAAGAGGACAGAGGGAAAGAACAAACAGAGAGAGGGCGTGAGAGAAGCACCGTGACAATTGTGGTCCATGTTCAGATGTGTTAGCGTTTTGTTCACGCTTGTGTGCACCTGCAAGCGTACCCACTTACAGTTTTGCATGGAACTTCTAACAAGGTTCCGCACGGCATTACTTGTGGAGCTGTTGTCTCACTGAGATCTCAAATGCGCTAAAGTTGTCTTAAGCTTAAATGGAGGACACTTGGACTTCCTGGTCACGTGATGTGGACTCATGACGGGATCACCATTTAGAATGTATTCTGATTTTGCACAAAACTTCAACTCTGAATAATTTCATCGACAGAACTGAAACTTGATCGTGGAACTTGATCGAAATAGCGAACTACGAACTACGTCGAATGACGTTAGGATGAAAGCTGACCTCACATATGTTCAGACTTGTTCAACTCCTGAAATGACAAAATGTATCACCTCAGGCGCACTCAACAGAGGGACCGGCACACTAATCACTCAACTGCAGTATGTTATTTGGTCTTTATTTTTTGCCTTCCTCGAGCCATACATAATTTCTTTCTCTCATGCATCACTGGCACACTCATTGCTTTTGACATTTTTTATTGCCTTATGGTCACCGCAAGGCACATGTTGTGTGCTGAGAGGTTTGAAGACCCAGACATGGTTTTTGTTGGACATGTTTGGATGTCGGGGAGGATAATGACTACTCTATGTGTCACTTATGGTGCCAGTTCTTTTTTTTTTTACCAAAAGTGATTTGCCGTATAATGGGCTAGTGACCTTTATTGCCTGATATTGCCCGCACAGTTATGGCATGAAGGCTTCAGTCACGTACTTGAATAATACCTGTGGGTTCCAGTTTGCACTTACAGGTTAGTGAAGACATTTAGTCATACAGAATCTGTGTGAAGAAATTCTTTGGAGAACTTGAGATGCTCTGTAAGGATGACTGATGGGTGACTTTGGGGTTTAGAGAGAGTACTTCAAGTATTCCACCACCATTCATTAGAATCCGACTGATCTTGGCTTGAGAGCCTCCCAAATTTTCACTCCTGCTTGCCATTGCGTTCTGTGTTCCACTTTTGCTTTGCACTAATGTCTGAGCAAAAAGTCTATCAGGGGAGGAGAAGTGGGCTAGAGGGTAGTAGAGAACTGCTGGTGTTCCTAAAATAGAAGATTGTAACTCTCTAAGTAGATTCTCTTGTTCTAAGCTTGTGGAATAACTGATCTTGTCGAACTTGATACATTTATAACACCGTGAAAATGTACCTGCTCAGAGTGTCCTCGTTGAAAGTCTCCAAATATCCACCTCCAAACATTTTTTCAAATTATTTTTTTGAACGGTGATGTAAAATTGAGGTTGGAGAGCTGTGGCATTGTGGTATTGCCATGTTTGAATGTGAAAAGCTTGATGGTATGATAAATTAAACAGAATGATGGAATTTGTAAAATGTACCACTGGAGTTGTGTAAAAAAAAACAAACAAATGTCTTCTGCTAAAACGCATTACTGCTCAGCTGCTGTAGTCTGCCATCAGGTCTCCTATTGGAAGACAAAAAGGTAACTCTACCAAGTGCAACATTATTTCTCCCTTCTAGTTTACCACCAAACTGTAAATTTCATCTTGGTTTACTGTGGTACCGGTCAGTAAATGCTAATCAGGGTTGCATTTCCCCTGCAGGGTTCTTTGGTGGAATGGCGATTAGCTGCATCAGCTACATAAATAGTTACATCATACCATACCAGAGAGACAACGGTTACTTAAAACAAATAATACAAGTGGCACACTGCTCACAAAGCAATAATACAAGAAAGGATAACAACAGACTTTTCAGAATATTTCAATGTAAAATTGCTCCATCCACTACTGTATTCATATCCCCACCATCAGCCTGATTCATTTGGACAGTGCCTCTTTTATGGTCATCCTGAACTTACAGTGGAAGTTGCACTGACTTGACAGACAAAAAAAAATTGAAAAACAACAAAAAGGATGGAAGATGGTGTCATTCCTACGAGAAAAAAAAAACTCTTTGCGAAATGTCAGTGGGTATGTGTCGTATTGAGCATGTCACGGGATAATGTCAGGATCTTAGCTGCCTGTCCAATGAAGGTCATCCGCTCCACTCCTATTTAGAAACGTGCACTGCTGTGGTCTGTCTGGAAGGCTTTTGTTGACCAGCTTTCTGGCAGGTCGAACCACAGAACAGCTCTTCCACGCAATTGCTGAAGAACAACAATCATTTCAACTACCCCTGTGTATGTACATGTTTTCAGAAAGCAGCGACTACAGTGATGCCGAGGTTCTCCCGGACTCGTATCCATCAGCACCAGCAGAACCTCTCCCGGAATTCCTGCTTGAACCGGAGGATGCTTTTATTGTGAAGAACCGGCCCGTTCAGCTCCGTTGCCGGGCGTCACCTGCCACACAGATCTACTTTAAGTGCAACGGGGAGTGGGTCAATCAAAATGACCATGTCACAAGAGAGAGCTTGGACCAGGTCACAGGTGAAGATCAAAGATAACCAGTGAACAGAACTACAGACACACAGCAATGTCACCTTGTATTTTACAGACCCAAACAGCATACTCCATTACAAACAGCATTTCCAACGACATGTCCCATTAGCTCTTTCGAGGTTTTATGTGCTCGAAAACTGCATTTGGCCTGCAGCCAACTCGTTGTGGATGTGCATTATCGCTCTATATCGCCGTCTCCCCGCAGGGCTTGTGGTGAGGGAGGTGGACATCTCGGTCTCGAGGACCCAAGTTGAGGAGCTGTTCGGGTTGGAGGACTACTGGTGTCAATGTGTAGCCTGGAGCTCAGCCGGCACCACCAAGAGCAATCGCGCCTACGTCCGCATTGCATGTCAGTTTTGGGCAACCTTTTTTAATCATGGCTTTTTTCCTGTCATCTGTCAAGTGTACGTGCAAACTGACATGCTGTCATTCAGCATGACTGTGTGAGTTGTCTTGTGATTGACAGTCCTGTTGTGAAGGTACAAATGGAGAAAAAAAAACTGACAGATTGAAACTTGATATACATGCTGTACACATCAGTGATAAACTGAACGTCATTCGGGGGCCACAAAGCAACTTTCGCCAACTGCAGATCTGCGTTTCTGCCCCTGTAGACTTGAGGAAAAACTTTGAGCAAGAGCCACTGGGGCGAGAGGTGCGACTTGAGCAAGAAGTCCTTTTGCAATGTCGCCCACCAGAAGGCATGCCCACTGCTGAGGTACAACTCTCTTACATCACGGCTGTCTATGTATGTATCATTGCGCATACGTATATTCGACTGAAAGTCGTCCCTCCCCACAGAGGTTTTGTGTGCCCGGAACATTGGTCAGATAGTTGTGTGGAAAACATTCAATTAACATTCAACAAGTTCAGCGATCTCACGGTAGTTTACCACATGGAGCAGGAATGAAGAATTTCATACCGAATTAAGCCATTTGTACCCAAATGTGAACAGTCTTATTGGGCTTAACTGAGAAGACAGAATGATATTCATTACTAAAATATATATATACATTTTTTCTGTTCACAAATGTAAGAAACAACTTTTATGTGATGTAAGAAATAATTACCGGTAATGTGCTTCAGTATTTTTTCACAGTTATCATTTCGGTTCAAAAACTTCTACTTACAGGTTGGAAATATGACAGAAACAAACAAACAAATGAACAAAAATAGATTTAGTTCATTGCCATTTCTGTAAATTTAGGGCATCAGTGGTATAAACCTTACACAGGGCGGTGCTTCAATATATTTACTTATTATCTATGTCCGAGCAAGAGCTGGTGTCCAAAGAGCTCTTTCCATCCATTTCAACATAACTTCTTCAGACTAAGGTTATTGATTATTGATTTTGAAGGATGTCCAAGATCCTAGACTAATTAGTGATGGCTTCACACGTGTAATTCTGAATCAAGGATGACGTCTTTATGGGAGGCAAAATAGCAGTTTTGGCTTTTTGAAATAATTCGAACGTGCCAGATGGTTTCCAACAAAACATCTTTTCCATGAATGTGTAAGGTTGGAATAATGAGGTTCTGCTCCTTCAAGGTGGACTGGCTGAAGAACGAAGACGTCATTGACCCTTCGCAGGACTCCAACTTTCTGATCACCATCGATCACAATCTAATAATCAAGCAGGCCCGACTGTCAGACACGGCCAACTACACTTGCTTGGCTCGCAACGTGGTGGCCAAAAGACGTAGCAGCACAGCAACGCTCATTGTTTTCGGTAACGTACAGTTTCCCTCGTCTTCATTGTTTACACACGTTTCGATATGACAGAAAAAAACAAAGTATTCAAATGTTTCGCAACTTAGCGTTATTATTGATGTGCTGTATTGTTTCGATGCAGCTCCTGTTCTGGATTAAATAAGTGTATGTTAGGATGGAACTGTTACATGCACATTGATTACGTTTTCATGTTTCATGTTGTCAGCTGAAAGAATGCTTAGGCCACCTTTTTGTTGTTTGTCTGTATGTCAGTGAGCGGCGGATGGTCCTTATGGACCGAATGGTCCGAGTGTAACACAAAGTGTGGGCGGGGCTGGCAGCGACGAACACGTAGCTGCACCAACCCCGCTCCCCTCAATGGAGGAGCCTTCTGTGAAGGCCCGCCCTTCCAGAGAGTGACCTGCACCACACTGTGTCCAGGTTAGCATGACCGTCTTATTTCTAGTGCCCAGTAGTCCTGCAACTTCTCAAATAGGGCTGCCACAAATTAGGATGATTTTGCTCGTCGACGAGTCACGAATAGTAGTCACCGTTAGTCGACTATGATCGTACGTAAATCGCAGCAGATCGCATCAGTAAACAGCTGCTCTTATAGAACCTTTATTAGCTTACAGCTTGAATTCTATAGAGTATGTGCAAATTAAAAATGAAGACAACTTAGATGTACATTCAGATTTAATTAAACTTTGCAGCTTGTATGAGGATTCCTGACATGTTTATAAATGGTGGCGCAAGTTAGATTGAAGGCGATACTGTGGACTTAAGATTTCTAGATGTAAATGTTTAGTGCATTTATAAATGGAACCAAAAACTATACACTATGCATAGTTGCACTATGAATGCTGTAAATCATCCATCAATTCAAAAACAAAATACTGGTAAACATATTTCACTGTTCTCAAGCTTTATGTTTTTTAATTAACCTTTATTTAAACATTTTGCTTTTCTTCATTAGTCCGTATAACTTAAATGATCAAATTGATCTACCCAATCAAAACGAGGTACTGTAATGAAGATTAGGAGGAATGTATTAGATGTATGTAATGTCGTACATTGCAACGAACTGGGTTATGTGTGTTTTATTGTTGTGTTGCCGCTGAGTGGTCGTGGCGAACGTCACGTTCGGTTACATTGAGTGCTCCATTTTCTGAGTTCAGCACACGATTCTGTTTCCGAGTGCGGGAACGAACGAGAGAGCGAGCGAGAATGTGCTTCTTCATGTTTCAACCTCACAATGGCCATACAGTAGTTTGGACTGTTTAATGAGTTTGGTCATGTGATGTTTGCAAGCTGAGACGTAATTAGTCATTACCTGAACCCTGAGCAGCCGTGATGTTGTTTTCAGGCGACAGCAAGCAGCATGTGAAAGCGCTATAAAATAAAGACTTATTGTATTGTATTGTAAAATGTCCACCCCTTGCGCTGGATACAAATGGGTGGCTTTTGTTGCTTCATTCATATTCCACAAATGCAGTAATAATCAGAATGCCATGCTCCTAGTGGGTTCGCATAAAACCTATTAGTGTGAAGAACATTTTTTTTTTTTTTTAATAAATTCAAACTTAAAAGTCCGGTTCGGATTCATAACTCACCCAATCACATCAGGATCACTGTGTTACTTCAATTGCTAAATGATCCACTTTCCCTTATGATATATTACTATGTAATGTACTGAAGTCATGCTTAATTCATCACTACCATGATGGTGTGCTGCTCCGCTTAATTTTCTTACGCACCGTAACTTTTGTCATTCCAGTGGATGGAGGCTGGACAGAATGGGCCAAGTGGTCTGCCTGTGGCACAGAGTGCACCCACTGGAGAAGCCGCGAATGCCAAGCGCCTCCACCCAGGAATGGAGGCAAGCACTGCAGCGGGAGCATGATGGAGAGCAAAAACTGTACTGAGGGTCTCTGTGCACGCAGTAAGTAACCTGGATGGATTGTGTAAAAGTTGAAGTCATCTTTCAACCTTTAGTCTTCCACTGGACCATGAATACCCGCTAAATCTGTGAGAAGGTCTCAATAGCTTCTTACTGAGAGAATATAGATGTTCTAAGGCAGCCATCAGGACAAATCCTCTTCAATTATATTTCTTGCCCCAGGTGGTCATTCAAATCGTAATAGAACTCCTTTCAGAAAGTGATTTCTTTGCACAGTTAGACCATTTTGTAGAATGCAGTGCATGTCCAAGTGATTTTGTACAGAAATGTATTCCTCAAGGTGTGAAACCTCTCGCAGTATCTTGGAAGAACACGAATCCTGCAGAGAGCGATGCGAGGAAATAGAGACACAGCCTAGACAGATGTTACAAGACGGAACATGTTAGTTCGCAAAAGTGAGAAAGCGGACGAGCCACATCCAAAAAGCACAGACGGAGAGTGAGAGACGGTGAGAGAAATAAATATGGCACATCAGAGTCGAAAAATTAGCGCAGTGTAAAGCATATGAGTATGAGTCAGACACAACCTGACACCGAGTGTGCGCCCCGTGATGAGCAGGGAGAGATTCAGATGACAGCGCATTAGAGTCAAAAGCGCACATCCACAGAGGCCGCACACACTTCAGAGACATACGCGAAAAGACACAAAAGCAACACGCCCGAGCGTTCGGACAAACCTCCTTAAATGCAACTGGGGGGGATCGGACGCATCCTCCGAGGAACGACGGAGCTTCACTTTCACTCTGAGAAATACACGTGATTGCTGACACAAACCGTCATGTGTGGCGCAGCAGATTAAACAAATAGACTTTGTGGGCTAACGCAACACAAGTCTCCGGAGGTCGTCAGGAAAAGATGCACTCAAGTTATTTTGACACAGAGGGAAGATGAGAAGCATTCCGCTGGAGATGTTGTGTGAATGCGTCATTTGGGACACGACAGCTCACTGACTGATTTGATTTTTTTTTCGTTTTAAATGTTATTATTTGGCTCTCTGGTGTCTCATTTGTGTTTCCTTTGAGCGTAAACAAATGCAGCTGTCATAAATGTCACTCTTTGGGTGGCCTCTTCCACTGTTGAATGATTGGGAGTGGTAGGCAACCACCAAGCAAGGATTTAGACTCTTGGTCACTTAATTGGGTACCCCCCCCTCCCCAGTTGAGAGTTACTCTCTGTAAATAAATGTTGGCTATCACTTTGTGTACTGGGTGTACTGATGTGTGTATATTGGTGTTGTAATATAATATCGAAAATGCTCCCGCCAGTAGTGAGGTGTGTATAAAATGGAATGAACGCGATACCACATTTTGCAGGGAGAATATAAAGTTGTAAGCAGTCTTGCCAGCGCCATTTCAATCCTCTCCTTCACGCACCACGTACGAAGCCATCTCCTGCCACCGTCAATGTTTGTCATTTTTAACTACTTTTCATTGCCGTTCTCGATAAACAGGAAAAGAATGGCACTGGCCTTGGAATAGCGCTCGTCACTTACATTTGAAACACTGACTTATTTTTTTGGAATGTAGCTCTATTAGTCTTGATTTTTTATTTTTTTTTTTAATCTTCATTTGTGGCACTTTGCTGTGTATGTTGTTCCTGTTTGATTTGCAGTACGTGTAGTCCATTCATTCCATTTGAAATTTCTTTGGTCTTCTGTTTTTTCTTCTGTTCAAACAGATAAAAGGGTTTCTATTGAACATGCAAGTCATCGTAAGTTCAACCACCACCATTTTTTTTTTTAACTTCCATCCTCAGTGTGTTGTCTGGCGTCCGTATGGTCCTAACATCTGTGTTGTGTACAGCGTAATCTTTATCTCCCATTCTCCTCAAAGTGGATGTCTCACTTTCCTTTCTCAGCTTCACATCTTGCTGCAATTGAGAATTAATCGAAAACCAAATTATGGAATAAACCTCAAGTCATCGGGTTCAACTGACAAGGTGTCTACCGAGCTGTGAGGTGGAAGCACAGCCCAGTTGATTTGTTCAGCTAATCTGTGATTTGGTTTAAAGTTAAAGTGATGCTAATTCCTTTAGCGCAATGTGACATGGGCTCAGGGGAGTGCAGCCTTAGTAATGCACCTAATTCCCTATTGTTCCGTTTCTGGTAATAAGTGCGGACGTTTGTCGGATTTGGTTCCATCGTGCCACATGAGCATGGAGGCACTCCTCTTCCAGCAAGTCTGCCTCTGGCTTTCCTCCCCTATTTTTCCTGCATCTCCTTTAACTTCTGCTCTTATTCTTTGTTGGCTTCTTCCTCTGCCCTCTCAATGAATAATAAGCATATCGATCTCCTCTCCCTTTTTGTCCACCATAGCTATTAATGTAGTAAAGGAACATTACGAGACAGTTTGACCAAATTTATAATAATAATAATAATAATAATAATAATAATAAAAATAATAAAGATAATAATAACAAGGTTAGCCATTTGAATCGTATCCTAGCTTTTAATAAGGATAATAATATCTCTGTCCATGTGATTATGGTGGACCAGCCAGGACACCTTTCGTGTTGTTACTTTTTCAGAGTGGTGTGCAAGGTTTGGAACACTCTGAGATATGGTGTTAAAAACGCATGATTTCATAACCGACATGTTCTGTTACATCTGGCTACATTAGTTTGTGACCTCATCGTTGCTCGTAAAATATTGGACCATGTTTCCTACAAAAGTAATCCATAAATTAATAAAACTTCTTATCTGAAGGATAGTGCTTTGTGTGAGGAGTTTCAAGGAAATTGAAACTGACATAATGCATCTTTTTCACAAGTTGCTGTTATGGTTGATAGATATGTGCTCGTAGCGCCGGGCATCTATTCACCCGTTCCTTTCAAACGTAAATTGCCAAAGTGGGACTTTGCCGTTGCTGAAGTGCACCTGCACGCAGATGTTGGGCCTTGCATAATTACATCATTTATGTCTGGTGACATCAGTGTTGGGGTCTGGGACAGTGACGATTGCTTTCAACATAAAGACTTCTGTATGTTGAAATTCACATTCTGGTCATTGCTGCTGGCGTTACGCCCCTCTTACGCTTCTGATACTTCAACGCCTCATCGTGCATTGATACCTTACACACAAAAAAGTGTGGAAAAATGAAAAAAGACCGGCACACATCCACTGTGAAATTCTCAAGCGCCTTAATACGTTCACCGGTGCCGATTGTCAACAAATTCATTTTTGTCCCTGAGGCTTTAAAATAAGTTATAATTCGCAACTGTAAGGGGAGCCAAGGTGCAAATAAAAAGCGCAATTATTCCCAGTTGTTGCTTTTAGTAGTTGGGGTTGAGGAGGCTGCGTTGAGCCGTCTAATCCCAACCACCAATCAGCCAGTAGGAAGGAGATGGAGCCCAGTGGGAAGCAGGTGAACATAAGGCCAACATCTTTTATCCATCTTGCTTTTATGTCTTCGACTGTTTGTCGTTGTTGCTTTACTGCATGATCCTCTTAAACACAAGTCCGGTGGAATTCTGAAAACATCCGAACAGGCGTAATGGCAGATCCATGAAATCACAAGCGTGTGTGTAGACTACAATTGGTACGGGTCGCGGGGATTGCTCCGTCTCTTCCTCCCTAACTCCAATCTGTGAAGTGATCAGCTCTACAATGTTATTCCAAATAAGCAGATGGAGGAGGAAAATCCTCCACCTCGTTTAAATTTCGAAAGTTAAAACCAAAGCTGTACTTGGCTCTACCTCAATTAGTGATAGTTCTACTTTTAGTGCTCATCCAGGTTCTTAGCAAATGAATCAAAATCTAATCAGGACTTCTCATATTTACTGAGCGGTTCTCTTTCTCTGGTAAAAAGATTTAAGTAGGGAACTTTCACACTAGCGCCTTGAGGCTGAATGAATCAAACTTTACTTTTTGCCCCCATTGATGCCATGCATTTGGGCAACAGTCAACACAGACTTAAACTCTGGTGTGGACGAGGTCAAGCGACCGCAAAAGGTCTCCCGTGGTTCAAGTGGTCTTGGACAATCAAGTGCCTGAAAGCGGTACTTGAGTAAAAGTACGAGTAACGTCACAGCAAATACTTGTAACGTTGGTAATAGTTAGTCACCTTGTGGAATGGTACATGGGTAAAAGTCACACACTGTAGCAGTGCGTCCATATAAAGATTTTTCTGATTACCTGTGTCTCAAATTCAGGATTTCTCCCCACCGGTATTCGTACCACCTCAGTACAGGCAGGACTATTCTTTGGCTTTGTACTCAAACAGTTCAGGGATTACGTCAACAACCAATCTCTTTGCATTTTGTAGTAACAAGTAACAAAGATAGTAAGGGGAGGATATATCATCGTAAAAGTATGCATTGAGGAAAACTGAAATTTGAAAGAAATATAATTTGTGAAAATCCGACCTAAGTCATTTGCATTACTGTTGACTGTACTCACATGACTAACACTTATCGACCTCTTTCCCTTTTAGTTATCTTAACATGCGCAACTGTTTGTGCTAACTTTTTCTCAAACTTTTCTCAGCGCTGGCGCCAGAGATGGGTGTAGCAGTTTACGCTGGTCTGGTAGGGGCGCTACTGCTGTGCGTGATCCTGGTGCTGTGCGTAGGCGTGCTGGCTTACCGCCGCAGATGCAGCCACCTGCACGGAGACATCACAGACTCTTCATCTGCCCTCGCCGCTGCCTTTCACCCTGGCAACTACAAGCCTCCCAGACAAGGTAAGTTGACACACACAAACATACACTCACGGTGTAATTTCCTGTTTCATTTTTTGCTCCTTTTGCTCCTGCTCACAGAAGCATGTCCTCACGTTTTATTCAGCTCTGCTTTCTATTTTTATCAGGAATTCTTTTTATACCCTGACACCATTATCTCCTCTCACGGAGACAGTTCTCCCGTCTTTACCACATTACATATTTTAGAGTTCAGAGCATTTGTCGTGGTATCTCCTCTCTTGTTCTGGCCATCAAATATTAATTGGCAACATTAATCCATTTCACTTGCACCACTTTTTGCACTCTCAGCTGGGGCTGTTTCATTTCTGCAGATAAGAGAAGAGCCTCTCTCGATCTTGTGTGTGTGTGTGTGTGTGTGTGTGTGTGTGTGTGTGTGTGTGTGTGTGTGTGTGTGTGTGTGTGTGTGTGTCCACAGATAACCTCCACCCTCTGCATCCGTCCGCTCCTCCCGACCTGACGGCCACAGCGGGAGCATTCCGTGGGCCGCTCTATTCCTTGCAGCAGGGTGTTAACGAAAGCCACCACAAAATCCCCATGACCACATCCCCATTGTTGGATCCCCTGCCCAGTCTCAAAATCAAGGTGTATAATTCCTCCACGCTATCGTCGCTGGAGATCCCCGCTGATATGTGCTCAGGAGACGGCGACATCCTCAGCCTGAAGTCGGTGGGCACCGGCGGGAGGGAGCGACAGTTCCATAGCCACACGCTGTCCAGGGAGCCCGGGTTGAGTACCAGCGCCACCTTGGGGCACCTGGGGGGGCGCCTCACCATCCCGAACACAGGTAGTCACCGCAAGCATTAAAATTGTTCAAAATGTACTCAACTCATCGTGAAATTGGGAGACAGTCCGGAGACATTACAGGTTTAAATAAAGGAAAATAGTATGTAGAGAGCCAAAAATTTAGCGTCGCCCATCTGGTTCCCATTGGACCTCATTTGGGCAAATTCCCTTGTAGGAATTTAACAAGTGCTGGAAGGTGCTAAAGATGGCTGGTTCAAAGGAAAATGGCAGATTTGCTGTTGAATTTCAGGAAATGGTCCATGAGATTTTTGCATGCATCCTATGATGAGAGACGTGTCCATCAAATGTCATGTTTAGCAGTGAAATCAGGCACATTTTTCTAACTTCTCAGGGGGTGCTACAGATGTCATATTCACAACCCCTAAATACACATTCCAGCAAAACAAAAATTGGGAGTTTTCAGGAATCTCGAGACACTCAGAGATCAATTCGGTCCCTGGAAGAATGTCAATGAAGCACTGTAGGTTGGAGTGCTTCTGTGGCCTCAAAATGTGAAATGTGTGCAATGCTTAGATGAACTATAACGTCACTGGCTCACAGAGGATGATGAAAGATGACTGCACTCTACCATTTTAAATTCTGTAGTGGGGGTAAAATAGCAACAGAAAAAGAATCCATTTTAAAAACCACATAAATCATTCACCGGTATTTGTCCATTTTTTTTTTTTTTTTTATTAGCATGCTACTTTTTGGTTTAAGAAAACTGATGTTGGACAGATCGGACTCAACCATTTGCATTCCGGAGCATGGGGAATGTTTCAATTGGAAATTGAACAGCGATGGAGACAGTCAACCACAGTTTTTTTGCGACAAGGTTGAATGGTCCGTTCCTCACCACATGTGACAATCCTCCACAAAATTCCTTCAAATTGATAATGTAGTTTTTGGCTCATATGGTTAAATTTAAAAAAAATAATATTTCCAAAGAATCCTTAAAAATAATAACATGAACAAACCGATGAATCTATATAGATCCAATTCAAGAATTGCATGAAAGAAACTTCATCACCACAAATATTACTCAACAATTCTCTACATTATTTTTTACAGCAGCGTCAAATTGCTTTAAGTCGTACGGCAACATTTGGTTGCCGTATTCAACGACGTGACTAATACTAAAATAAAATACAAGCAAATACGATGCAGTACAGCTACACCACTGCAAACATCATCCAGATATAGGCTACTGTAAATTTACCGTATTGTCAAATGAATACCTCTCTTGACAATGTCAATCAATACTGAGCATGAAGAAATTTTTTATACATCTTTTTAAGCAGTATGCCATGAGATTGGGCAGTTCATTTTACGATTGTTTGTATCGTCAGTGTACCTGCATATGAATATATATATAAATGTATTTATGTGAACAAGTCTGTCCCGGATTACACAAAAGCCACCTTCTCTATAGGTGTGAGTTTGCTGGTCCCGCCTGGCACCATCCCCCAGGGGAAGTTCTATGAAATGTACCTCATTATCAGCAAATGGGACAAAACGACGTAAGTGCCCATGATCTCGTCTTCATTTCTTCAAGCCCACGTGATGCGCTACAAAACCTCGCTTCAGTCAGAAATGTTTTTCCTCATGTTATGACTGTGTCA